GACAGGCGAGGCTTCAGCTGGGAGTACCGTTGGCACACCAGGTCGAAAAAGTCGACGAACCCCAGACAGTGTCAGGGTAGAGCGCTGTAGAGTCTTGGTGACACCCTCAAAATCGGCAAGAACTTCTAAAATCTCGTGAGCACATTCCGACTCGGTTTTTTGGAGCAATAGTGTCTGGATTCCACACTCTACTAGGGTACCGTGGCCCAGAGAGTTGAGGGCCGGTTTTAGCTTCGTGTACCGTTGTACCATTGCATAGGTACTCGACCACCTGGTATCATATCGATGGAGGGGCGACAGGTCGGTAACTCGACGAAGAATGGCTCGCCCTTGATAATTCGGAGCTTAGTCATCAGAGCGTGGATTTTCGACAGTAGGGCCTCGTAGCTGGTTAGGTAGTCCGTCACAGCCAGATTGAGCCTGTGTGAAGCGCAGCCTACCATAGGTAGACCACCCTCACGACTACCAATGTACTGGTTGACGCTGCAATTGTCGGCGACCATGAAGTGCACAGCCTCCCAAGGCTTGTTGTAGCGGGACAGCGTGTCTGCAATCAGATCAAAGAGGCTTTGTGCCCACAGATCTTCCTCAACCTCAAGTGGACAAAATGCTAAGAGTAGGAAACGTCGAGTGTAGCAGTCGGTGTCCTCGAAGTAGTCGGGTCATCCTGAGCCGGGGTTCCTTTGCACATCTTGGGATCGTTGAACACGGCGAAGATGGCGATATAGTGACGTCCGCTGAACGTACATCCGTCGAGGACGATGCCGAACGTGGCAGGTATCGCTTCAGCAACCCTAGCCTCGACAGACTCGATCATGCGCATCAAGTACCTTTTTAGAGTGTTCTTGGCAATTGGGGTGAGCGACGCGTTCTTCCTCGTCATTTTCCGCTCGACGAAGCTCAAGGGGAGACGATCCATCACAACCCATTTACACAACTGGAAAATGTTGCGGGTCGCCTCGTCTATGACACGTAGACGAAGCGAGTTGCGATACTTGGCGGCTCGACCCGCATCTTCGAGGTAGGTGGGGTGGTTGATGCGGAGGTGGGTTATCAGGTTGGTGTAGCCGTGCGGACTCTTGCACGGTTTAGAGCACGTCAGGCAAACGT